CGGAATACTATGCAGCCAGAAAAAAGAATGAAATCATGTCCTTTGCACTAACATGGATGTAGGTGGAGGCCGTTATCCTAAGTGAAATAACATAGGAACAGAAAACGAGAGACCAAACATTAGATACACATGGACACAAAAACAGCAACAAGGGACACTAAAGACTACAAGAGGGAGACGGGAGGGAGGGACGCAAGGATTGGAAAGCTAACTATTGGGTACTATGCTCACCACTTGGGTAATGGGATCTGTTCCCCAACCTCAGGACCCATGTAACAAACATGCACATGTACCTCCAGAATCTAAAATAAAAGTTGGAACTATTAAAAAAAGTCCTTCTTTGTCTGTAGAAACAATTTTTTTCTTAAAGCCTATGTTGTTTAATATTAGTATAGCCATTCCAGTTCTCTTTGAGTTACTGTTTGCAAAGCGTATCTTTTTCCATCATTTTACTTTCAACCTATTTGTGTTTTTTAATCTAAAGTGTGTTTTTCCAGGTGTACTGGCTGATGCCTATAATCCCAGCTAGTCAGGGCAGACTGAGGCAGGAGGATTGCCTGAGGCCAGGAGTTCAAGACCAGCTTGGAAAATACAGTACGACCCTATCTCTAAAAAAAAAAAAAAAAAAAAAAAAAAAAAAAAAAAAAAAAAAAAATTTTTTGTTTTGGAGAGATATTTGCACTCCCATGTTTACTGCAGCCTTGTTTACAATAGCCAAGATTTGGAAGCAACGTAAGTGTCCATCAGCAGATGAATGGATAAAGAAAATATGTTGCTTACACACAATGGAGTACTGTTCAGCCATAAAGAGTGAGATCCTGTCACTTCCAATAACACAGATGGAACTGGAGATCATTATGTGAAGTGAAATTAGCCAGGCAAGTTTTGAAGAAAGACAGGCCCTATCTCTAAAAAAACAAAAATGCTTTAAATTAGCCAAGTATGGTGGCAGGAGCCTATAGTTCCAGCTACTTGGGTGGCTGAGGTGGGAAGATTACCTGAAACCAGAAGTTTGAGGCTGCAGTGAGCTATCATTACACCACTAGACTCCAACCTAAGCAACAGAGCAAGATTCTGTCTCTAAATAATAAAAATAAAATGAAGTGTTTTTTGTAGACAGCATATAGTTGGATCATTTTTTAAAAAAATCAATTTGCCAGTCTCTACCTTCCGATGGAGTATTTAATTCATTCGCATTTAATGAAATTACTGATAAGGCAGGATTTAGCTACCACTTTACTGTTGGTTTCCTATGCCTCTTGCCTTTTTTTCTCCTCTATTTTTCATTACTTCCTTCTCTTTTCTGAAATATATATTTTCTAGTGTAACATTTCCGTTTCCTTGTCATTTTTTACTATATATTTAAAATTATTTTCTTAGTGGCTGGTGTGTCTCGAGGTGGACTCTTTCAGTCTTTCCTACTTAGAATTTGTTGAGCTTCTTGGATTCACTTTAATGTTTTTCCTCAAAGTGGGAAAGGTTTTGGCCACTATTTCTTCCAATATATTTTTTATCCCCTTCCCTCTCTCTCACTTCTCTATTCTAGGACTTCTATTTTGTGTATGTTGCTATGTTTGATGGTGTCTGAAAGGTCTCCGAAGCACTGATCATTTTTCTTTGCCGTTTTTTTTTTTTTTTCTGTTCCTCAGACTGGATAATCTCAAATGGCTTCTAATTCACTGATTCCTTCTTTTACCAGTTCAAACCTATTTTTAAACTTCTCAAGTAAATTTTTCATTTGTATTTTTGTACTTTGCAACTCCAAAATTTCTACTTGGTTCTATTTTATAAACTTCCTTCCCTTCCTTCCTTCCTTCCTTTCCTTCCTTCCTCTCTTTTTCTTTTTTTCTTTTTCTGGGTTGTTGGTAAAAGCATGAGTTAGACTCCCTTCCTCTCTTGCCATGTGATGCCTTCTGCCATGCTACGAGGCAGCAAGAAGGCCCTCACCAGATACGGCCTCTTGATATTGGACTTTTCATCCTCCAGAACCATGAGCCGAATACACTTCTCTGTAGCATTCTGTTACGGCAATACAAAATAGACTAAGATATGGAGGGATGCCTTGGGGAAAACACCTTCAAAATATTACTACACCTCTGTGCTATGGGAGAACTTAAGGTTAAGGAGAAGGACAGCAAGTGGGACCAGTCGTTAAGAGAAGTTCTCCAAAGGCTTTGGACCTGTCCACTCTCAGGCGCCTAAGTAGCTGCCTGCCTGGGTCCATGTCTGCTTGCCCCCTGCACCGTGCCCATGCGCTCTCTGCTGAGTCCCCTGGGAATGTGTCATGCTGCATGTGAAACCTGTTCAGAGCGGGGTGCCAGGGCTTCTGGGCTTCTGGCATGGAAACCTTTCCTGTGCCAGAGGTGTATTAAGGAAGTGGAAGCAGCCACAGAAGGCAGGCCACCCATACAAAGTAAAGATGTTCAAAGCATTCAGCCTTATGGCACAAGAAGTTACAAGCTAACAACAATTTGCATTAATGAAACTCTTTCTATCCACAAGACTAAGCACCTGAGGTGTGTGAGGTTTATAGGTATTTAAAAACCTGGCCTTGGTGAAATGCTTTGCAAGAACTCGATACACAAGACATGTAAGAAAAGATGGGCTGGGACTTTGGCAGCTGAAATAGTCTCAGTGCTTCACGGAGCAGCTCATCAGTTTTGAAGGACAGTCTGTTGGCTTATGTATCGGGTAACATCCTGGGGTCAGCAAATTACTGCCACATCTGGCCTGCTTTTATGTGACCTATGAGCTAAGAACAGTTTTTGTATTTTTTAAGAGCTGGAGAAAAAAACAAAAAGTATGGAAAAAAAAAAAAAAAAACCAAAGGCCCTATACGGTTTGCAAAGGCTAGCAGATTTATTAGCCGACCTTTTACAGAAAGTCTGTCTACCCGAGTAACGGCATCATGGATTTATATTTACTTTATTATTTATTTTTGAGACAGGGTCTCGCTCTTTGCTCAGGCTGGAGTACAGTGGTGTGAACATGGTTCACGGCAGCCTCACACCTCAGCCTCAAGCGATCCTCCCACCTCAGCCTCCGCCATGCACCACCACGCCCAGCTAATTATATGGTGAATTTAAATGACCAATGATATCCTAGGATAGTCAATACTTACAACAAGAATGAAAGGGCACAAAAACATTTGAAATATCATTACTTTACTTTAGTATTCCAGGCATTTTAAATATTCATACAATTGCCTTATTTCAGCAGTCATTTCCTCTCCAGTACAGATTTTATGTCCAGGATCAGAGCCATGTATATCACCGAATTTCCTCTATAACACCCGCATGCTACATGGGACCCACTCCGGCGCCTGTGTCTTTGCTAGTAGAGCCTCTCACCACACCTGCAAGAGGGCTGGACCTCCCCTTGCTTGATGTAGCCTCCACTGTGAATGAAAACACACTTTGAAGCTTCAATCCCAGCACATTTCCAGCACTCCCAGGTGTTCCATGTATGTGGCAATCATCCCGCAGAGCTAGTGACACATCATGTCAACTGGTACCTATGCCAGCATCTGCTCCAATACATCACACAGATGCTGAGGCACTTAAATGTTCTTGGTAAAATGGAGTTCATAATTGCCATAGGAGTTGAGTGTGGGGGAAGGGGACTTTCTCTCAATAATTAACACCCTTGGCCGGGCGCGGTGGCTCACACCTGTAATCCCAGCACTTTGGGAGGCCGAGGCGGGTGGATCACAGGGTCAGGAGATCGAGACCATCCTGGCTAACACAGTGAAACCCCGTCTCTACTAAAAATACAAAAAATTAGCCAGGCGTGGTGACGGGCGCCTGTAGTCCCAGCTACTCGGGAGACTGAGGCAGGAGAATGGCGTGAACCCGGGAGGCGGAGCTTGCAGTGAGCCGAGATTGTGCCACTGCACTCCAGCCTGGGCGACAGAGTGAGACTCCACCTCAAAAAAAAAAAAAAAAAAAAAAAGTGAGACTCCACTCAAAAAAAAATTAACACCCTTAAATACACATTTGGCAGATTTATAATAATTTCATGTCTGTTTACATTTGTTGTCAAAGCTTCATAAACTATTTACGTAAAGGAAAGCATGTTCAAGTTTCCAAATGCCGCTATGACAAGCAAACAGAGAAACTGCTTAGATAACACCTGCTTGCGTCATAAATACATGTGGCAACATCTGGTCATTCTTAAAGAAATGCTTGTGTTTCCAAAAAGAATTTTTTTTTTAAGTCATAAGCCTTATGCAATTCTTCCAAGGTAATAATGTGTTTGTCCTTCCTTCTCAAGTGTGGTTCAAGGCATCTCAAGGCATATTGCTGTCTGAGGTTCTGATTTCACTGGCCGGGCAGAGAGGGGAAGAGTGGGCACTAACATGTTTTAAAAGCTTCACAAGTCATTCGAGCATATGGTCAGTGTTGAGAACCTTGGTACTAAAGGCTCTTGCATCTTCCTACTGTCACTTGTCCTCACCAAAAGCCCTTGAGGTAGTCCCTGGGTCAGGCAATGATCTCTTTCATGGGCTAAGAAACTAAGGCACAGAGAGGTTAACAGGCTCCTCTGATACTGTGCAGTCAAATGACAGAACCATGATTGCAACTGACATTTCCAAATAAACAATGACTCCTCCCCCAGCAATGGGCAGCACTTACATGGACCAAAAGTATGAAGCCTGACTGTGAGCCAGGCATGACCTTCTGTGTCAAGGACATCATGGATGGGAAAGGAACAGTTCTGAACCAATCATTCCACATGAACAGAAATAAATACATAAAGCCAGGCTTGGTGTTGTGCACCTGTAGTCTCAGCCACCCAGGAGGCTGAGACAGGAGGATCACTCAAGCCCAGAAATTCGAGGCTGCAGTGTGCTGATTGCAACTGCGAATAGCCACTGCGATCCAGCCTGGGCAACATAATGAGACCACGTCCTTGTAAAAAATAATAAAATTTTAAAAATTTTAAAAATATTTATAAACAAAATAAGTGCCTAAGATACTTATTGGAAGCCACATGAGGAATGAGGCATAACTTTTTATTTTCTTAAAAGTCTTACTTCCCTCATATATATGCCATTGAATCAGGTTTCTCAGAAAATCCATCAAGATTCACAGACTTCCTGACATCTGAATTCTTAGCTCTGTTACCGTGAGGGCTAGAAAACCCGTGAATGTCTCTATAATTTGGGTCCAAAAGATAATTACAAACCTGTGTTAGCATGTGACAGCATTACAAAAACGCCCATGCTTTTCCTGTCACCCGCCCACCTGGACTTGCCAGGGACCCAGAACCCTACAGGTTCTAACTGGGTATACATCTTCCCAGGATCCGATCAGATCTCATTCCCTTCTCTGAATTTCCCAAATACCAACCCATCGGCTGCGTTGGGTCTCACAGATTAACAATTACAACTGACTGTTTTATTTTGCTCTACAGGCAAACTTTTAAATCTGTATTCTGGGTAATCCCCAGGACGTTTACTTTGCAATTTCAAATTTCCATGAGAGCCAATTCACCTGGGACCTTCTCCACTTCACCCCAAGGTAACACCCTCACATCCTATCAACTATTGCTGCACCTAAGAAATAATTTCTATCATTATTGCCTTTTTCATCGTAAGTTCTCACATGTCATCATGTTCAAGGAGGCATTGATTTTCTCCTCTTTTGTAAAAGTCTCACCTGACTGCAGAAATGTTTTCTTGAGCCAAGCAGAAACGAGGAATGGAGCACACATAGCCATGAAGAAAGAACACAGCACGTTCTGGTGGGGAGGGCAGTTTTCAATGGGTTGCTGTGATTTCCAGGACACTCTAGGAAGGGCCTGTCTACTCAGCTTACACTGAACACAAATGACATCTTGTTCTCCCTACTGCTAGTGATGTGGCCTCCTGAAAAGCCTATAAAGTATTAGTTAATCCAGTAAGTGGAAGCCACTTCTAACAGTACACATTTGTTGAGACTTACAAGACACTGTGTGGAGCTGAAACCACTTCTTTCCCATTTTAGAAGACTTTCCCATTCAGGCAGGACATATATTCTCACATATACTCTCCTGATGCCTACAGGCACAGGAACTCAAAACCTTCCTGGAAGGAAACCTGTCCCTCTAGCTACTGCAGAAAGTGCTTGGGGCATAAAAAGAACAAAAAGGGGGAAAGCAACCTTTGTCTGGGGCAGGGCCACTGGGGAGTGGAATTTTACTGACTCCTGATCCTCAGAGAGGTTTTTACAAAGGTTTTTTTTTAAAAAAAAAAAAAAAAAAAAAAAAAAAAGGGGCGGGGGAGAACTAGGCAAAACTGCATTTAGAATTTTGGTTAAAGCAAAGAAAATTGAGAAAATTGAATCATCATATTTTCAAAGACCTACCATATTCAACCTATTAAGTAAAGCAATATATCATGTTTTGTTCTCTCTCATGCTTATTTGATGCTTACAGGTTCAGGGCAGACTTGCCACTTTGTTTCTAAAACATGCAGAGAGCAGACTTAGGGCAGCATATGCTGTTTTGGGGCCCAACCCACACAAACCCTGACAGGTGACTGACCAAACGCCATCAGGAAGGTGATGCGGGAAACCACCTTCACCGAGAGGCCAGTGCACAAAACAAAACTAAGGACTGTTGGTGCATGCTTGTCCAGAGCTGAGTGGCAGAGTGTTACGGAAGGGATGGGCGGGGAACACACAGGCAACCTCCAATATGCTCTGACGTCCAATCCACAGTCCAGAGCAGTGGGGCTGCAGCCGGGCATGGAGCTAAGGCACTAGGGCTGCAGTGGGTGGGAGGCACCGACCAGAGGTCCCAGTGCCCTGCCATTCCCGGGGAGAGGGAAAGGAGCTCTGCTCACAAGGCTGCCTTTGTGTACCAAAGTTGTTTTCAAACGTCTCAACAGCATTGCTGAGTGCTCCACCTGGGAAGCCCCCTGAGCAACCCTGTCTTCGGGAGCTGCATCCTCTGCTCACGTGCCTTCCTCCATCTCATCTTTGCGAGTGGCCTTTCTTTCCCCTGCTGTGGGCTGGATAAAAAGCAATCCAGTCATTTCACCATTCCCTGGAGCAGGACCCCGTGCTTTTTCCAAGGCAGCAGGGAGCGCCCCTCCATCACAGCTTGGTGAAGGCAGCTGGCTGGGTCTGAGGTTGCTCCACATCTGGGGGTGGGAAGACACTGGAAATGGCTATGTCCACGATGCCCTGGCACAGTTCTGCATAGAGCTTCCTGAAATGTGTTTTAAAAAATATCATTGAGGATGTTCATCAAAGTGCAAGCAAAAACAAAAATAAATGTTTTTTTGTTTTTGAGACAGGGTTTTACTCTGTCTCCCAAGCTGGCATGCAGTGGTGCAATCATGGTACATACACTGCAGCCTCAAATTCCCAGGCTCAAGGGAGCCTCCCACCTTAGCCTCGCAAGTAGCTGGCACTATAGGTGTGCACCACTGTGCCCAGCTAATTTTAAAATGCTTTGTAGAGACAGGGTCTTGCTGTGTTGCCCAGGCTGCTCTTGAACTCCTGAGCTCAAGCAACCCTCTCACCTCGGCCTCCCAAAGTGCTGGGATTACAGGCGTGAGCCACCGTGCCTGGCAGTTTTTCTTGTTTTTGTTTTTTACCAAAATCTGCCCTAGAAATTCTATTTTGTGACCACATTTCTTAAACTGGTTGCCACTCAGCCAGAAAGAAAGGTCGGGTTACCCACAAAGGAAGCCCATCAGACTAACAGTGGATCTCTCGGCAGAAACTCTGTAAGCCAGAAGAGAGCGGGGGCCAATATTCCACATTCTTAAAGAAAAGAATTTTCAACCCAGATTTTCATATTCAGCCAAACTAAGCTTCATAAGTGAAGGAGAAATAAAATCCTTTACAGACAAGCAAATGCTGAGAGATTTTGTTACCACCAGGCCTGCCTTACAAGAGCTCCTGAAGGAAGCACTAAACATGGAAAGGGACAACCAGTACCAGCCACTGCAAAAACATGCCAAACTGTAAAGACCATCGATGCTAGGAAGAAACTGCATCAACTAATGAGCAAAATAACCAGCTAACATCATAATGATAGGATCAAATTCACACATAACAATATTAACCTTAAATGTAAATGGGCTAAATGCTCCAATTAAAAGACACAGACTGGCAAATTGGATAACGAGTCAAGACCCATCAGTTTGCTGTATTCAGGAGACCCATCTCACATGCAGAGACACACATAGGCTCAAAATAAAGGGATGGAGGAAGATCTACCAAGCAAATGGAAAACAAAAAAAAAGCAGGGGTTGCAGTCCTAGTCTCTGATAAAACAGAGTTTAAACCATCAAAGATCAAAAGAGACAAAGAAGCCCATTACATAACGGTAAAGTGATCAATTCAACAATAAGAGCTAACTATCCTAAATATATATGCACCCAATACAGGAGCACCCAGATTCATAAAGTAAGTCCTTACAGACCCACAAAGAGACTTAGACTCTCACACAATAATAACAGGAGATTTTGACACCCCACTGTTAACATTAGATAGATCAATAAGACAGTTAACAAGGATATTCAGGAATTGAACTCAGCTCTGCACCAAGCAGACCTAATAGACATCTACAAAACTCTCCACCCCAAATTAACAGAATATACATTCTTCTCAGCACCACATTGCACTTATTCCAAAATTGACCACATAATTGGAAGTAAACTGACCACATAATTGGAAGTAAAGCACTCCTCAGCAAATGTAAAAGAACAGAAATTGGCCAGGCGCGGTGGCTCACGCCTGTAATCCCAGCACTTTGGGAGGCCGAGGCAGGTGGATCACGAGGTCAGGAGATTGAGACCATCCTGGCTAACACGGTGAAACCCCGTCTCTACTAAAAATACAAAAATTAGCCGGGTGTGGTGGCGGGCGCCTGTAGTCCCAGCTATTTGGGAGGCTGAGGCAGGAGAATGGCGTGAACCTGGGAGGCGGAGCTTGCAGTGAGCCGAGATGGTGCCACTGCACTCCAGCCTGGGTGGCAGAGTGAGACTCCATCTCAAAACAAAATAAAAAATAAAAAAATAACAGAAACTGTAACAAACTGTCTCTCAGACCACAGTGCAATCAAACTAGAACTCAGGATTAAGAAACTCACTCAAAACCACTCAACTACATGTAAACTGAACAACCTGCTCTTGAAGTGACTATTGGGTACATAACGAAATGAAGGCAGAAATAAAGATGTTCTTTGAAACCAATGAGAACAAAGACACAACATACCAGAATCTCTGGGACACATTTAAAGCAGTGTGTAGTGGGAAATTTATAGTACTAAATGCCCACAAGAGAAAGCAGGAAAGATCTAAAATTGACACCCTATAATCACAATTAAAAGAACTAGAGAAGCAAGAGCAAACACATTCAAAACCTAGCAGAAGGCAAGAAATAACTAAGATCAGAGCAGAACTGAAGGAGATAGAGACACAAAAAACCCTTCAAAAAATCAATGAATCCAGGAGCTGCTTTTTTGAAAAGATCAACAAAATTGACAGACCGCTAGCGAGACTAATAAGCAAGAAAAGAGAGAAGAATCGAATAGACTCAATAAAAAATGATAAAGGGGATATCACCACTGATCCCACAGAAATACAAACTACCATCACAGAATACTATAAACATCTCTATGGAAATAAACTAGAAAACTTAGAAGAAATGGATAAATTCCTGGACACATATACCCTCCCAAAACTAAACCAGGAAGAAGTTGAATCCCTGAATAGACCAAAAACAGACTCTGAAATTGAGGCAATAATTACTAGCCTGCCAACCAAAAAAAGTCCAGGACCAGACGGATTCACAGTCGAATTCTCCTGGAGGTACAAAGAGGAGTTGGTACCATTCCTTCTGAAACTATTCCAATCAATAGAAAAAGAGGGAATCCTCCCTAACTCATTTTATGAGGCCAGCATCATCCTGATACCAAAGCGTGGCAGAGACACAACAAAAAAAAGAGAATTTTAGACCAATATCCCTGATGAACACTGACGCAAAAATCCTCAATAAAATACTGGCAAACCGAATCCCGCAGTACATCAAAAAGCTTATCAACCATGACCAAGTTGGCTTCATTCCTGGGATGCAAGGCTGGTTCAACATATGCAAATCAATAAACGTAATCCAGCATATAAACAGAACCAAAGACAAAAACCACATGATTATCTCAAAAGATGCAGAAAAGGCCTTTGACAAAATTCAACAGCCCTTCATGCTAAAAACTCTCAATAAACTAGGTATTGATGGGATGTATCTCAAAATAATAAGAGCTATTTATGACAAACCAATATTATACTGAATGGGCTAAAACTGGAATCATTCCCTTTGAAAAGTGGCGCAAGACAGGGATGCCCTCTCTCACCACTCCTATTCAACATAGTGTTGGAAGTTCTGTCCAGGGCAATCAGGCAGGAGAAAGAAATAAAGGGTATTCAATTAGGAAAAGAGGACGTCAAATTGTCCCTGTTTTCCAATGGCATGATTGTATATTTAGAAAACCTCATCGTCTCAGCCTAAAATCTCCTTAAGCTGATAAGCAACTTCAGCAAAGTCTCAGGATACAAAATCAATGTGCAAAAATCACAAGCATTCCTATACACCAATAACAGACAAACAGAGAGCCAAATCATGAGTGAACTCCCATCCACAATTGCTTCAAAGAGAATAAAACACCTAGGAATCCAACTTACAAGGGATGTAAAGGACCTCTTCAAGGAGAAATACAAACCACTGCTCAATGAAATAAAAGAGGACACAAACAAATGGAAGAACATTTCATGCTCATGGATAGGAAGAATCAATATCGTGAAAACGGCCATACTGCCCAAGGTAATTTATAGATTCAATGCCATCCCCATCAAGCTGCCAATGACTTTCTTCACAGAATTGGAAAAAACTACTTTAAAGTTCATATGGAACCAAAAAAGAGCCTGCAACTCCAAGACAATCCTAAGCCAAAAGAACAAAGCTGGAGGCATCACGCTACCTGACTTCAAACTGTACTACAAGGCTACAGTAACCAAACCAGCATGGTACTGGTACCAAAACAGAGATATAGACCAATGGAACAGAACAGAGCCCTCAGAAATAATACCACACATCTATAGCCATCTGATCTTTGACAAACCTGACAAAAACAAGAAATGGGGAAAGGATTCCCTATTTAATAAATGGTGCTGGGAAAACTGGCTAGCCATAAGTAGAAAGCTGAAACTGGATCCCTTCCTTACACGTTATACAAAAATAATTCAAGATGGATTAAAGACTTAAATGTTAGACCTAAAACCATAAAAACCCTAGAAGAAAACTGAGGCAATACCATTCATGACATAGGCACGAGCAAGGACTTCATGACTAAAACACCAAAAGCAATGGCAACAAAAGCCAAAATTGACGAATGGGATCTAATTGAACTAAAAAGCTTCTGCACAGCACAAGAAACTACCATCAGAGCGAACAGGCAACCTACAGAATGGGAGAAAAATTTTACCATCTACCCATCTGACAAAGGGCTAATATCCAGAATCTAGAAATAACTTAAACAAATTTACAAGAAAAAATCAAACAACCCCATTGAAAAGTGGGAAAAGGATATGAATAGACACTTCTCAAAAGAAGACATTTATGCAGCCAACAGACACATGAAAAAATGTTCATCATCACTGGCCATCAGAGAAATGCAAATCAAAACCACAATGAGATACCATCTCACACCAGTTAGAATGGCGATCATTAAAAAGTCAGGAAACAACAGGTGCTGGAGAGGATGTGGAGAAATGGAAACACTTTTACACTGTTGGTGGGACTGTAAACTAGTTCAACAATTGTGGAAGACAGTGTGGCGATTCCTCAAGGATCTACAACTAGAAATACCATATGACCCAGCCATCCTATTACTGGATATATACCCAAAGGATTATAAATCATGCTGCTATAAAGACACATGCACACGTATGTTTACTGCGGCACTATTCACAATAGCAAAGACTTGGAACCAACCCAAATGTCCATCAGTGACAGACTGATTAAGAAAATCTGGCACATACACACCATGGAATATTATGCACCCATAAAAAAGGATGAGTTCATGGATGAAGCTGGAAACCATCATTCTGAGCAAACTATCACAAGGACGGAAAACCAAACACGGCATGTTCTCACTCATAGGTGGGAATTGAATAATGAGAATACTTGGACACAGGATGGGGAACATCACATAATGGGGCCCATTGTGGGGTGGGGGGAAGGGGGACAGATAGCATTAGGAGATATACCTAACGTAAATGATGAGTTAATGGATGCAGCACACCAACATGGCACATGTATACATATGTAACAAACCTGCACGTTGTGTACATGTACCCTAGAACTTAAAGTATAATAATAATAATAATAATCAGAAGTCAAAAATAAAGTAAAATAAAACTGGTTACCACTCTATATACAAATGCTTCAGAAGGTTTTGCATGAAGATAAAGCATTCCCTTGGCAAATATTTATGGAAGGCCTTGCAGGTGAACAACACAGACAACTGGTGGGGAAGGCAGGCGATTTCAAGAGCATGTAAGAGCCATCTTGCATTACACGGAGGGGCACCCAGGAAAAGGACCAACTCAGTATAATTGAAGGGACACTGGAAAAGACTCCCCAGTGACAGGGGAAGACTCCCTGGTGACAGGGGAAGACTCTCCAGTGGCAGCTAAGTGAAGACCCAGGGATGAATAGAAGGCGGACAGAATGGATGACAGGGTAGAAATAAAGAAGAAGGGGTTGACACACACACACACACACACACACACACACAGTTTCTTCTGATGAGTTAGTCTGATGACAGAGTAATGAGGGAAACTGCAAAGGCTCTGGCTAGAGAAAATCAGAGCTAGGACTGTTCAGGGAAAGCTTCCTCAAGATGTTGTTTTGGTAAAGCAGCAGCCAGTCACGGTGAGGCTGGTGGTGGTGGTAATGGTGGTGAGGATTCCACACACAGGTAACAGAAAGCACAAAGGCCCACTGCAGATAAGAGCAATCAAGGGAAATGTGACTTGGGATGAAGCTGGAGAGGTGGGTAAGGCAGTGGCCTTGCAGATGGAGGGAGGAATCTGGTTTGTGTCCCAGGTGCAGTGGGAAGTCTGGAGAATGGCATGGTCTGGTGTCTGCTTTACACACTGGCTGCTCTGGGAGGATGAATTTCACTGGGGCAAGAGCAGAAATGCATCCCAGTTAGGAGGCTCCATGCCAAAGCCTTCACTATGGTGGAAGATGACCTATGCAGGGGTGACAGTGCAAATGGAGGGCAAAGGACTCCGGAGGCTAGAGGCAGAACTCACAGGGCCCTGATGGGCAGGACTTGAGGGGAAGGGAAGGCAGAAGCAGGATCATTGTCAGGTTCGAGTTTAGTCTCTGTGGGGAGCGGGGGGTGGCGACCGACTGAGATGGGCAAGTCTGGGAGGTAGACAGGGGGACATTCTGGCAGGGAAGGCAGGTGCAGATACTAGTCTGTATCTCTGGGCTGTGATGTCATTTGCTCATTTCAAAATCATGAAGCTGGCTGAGGTCACATACAGAGAGAGGAGACAAACACCCAGGCCTAAGATCAGAGGCACTGGATGAGGAAGACGGAGCCCAGCTTGCCCACACCTCCCCAGGCAAGCCTGCCTAGTACCACGTGCCCAGCCACGACAGGAAAGCAGCTCAGCGACTGCTGTCAGCTGCCTCGAATGCTGCTGACAGGTCCAGGGGGTGGGAACAGAAAGAGGCTGCTGGAGGCGGCAACAAGGACTTGGCTGGGGACTTGCAAAGAACAGCTTCTGTGGGGCAATCAGGATGGGAGCCAGCCTGGAATGGACGGGAGCATGGATGGGAACAGAGGAAGAGAAGACAGCTTGTGCAGAGGCTGCTCTGCAGAAGCTGGGCTGTGAAGGGAACCGGACAAGGTGTGATTGCTGGAACAGGATGTGGCATCAGGGGAGGACATCTTTTTGAACAGTTGGGAAAATCTGCTGGGACTGCATATGCTGATGAGAACTAGGCACCAGAGAGGGAAAAAGGTGACAATGTAAATGAGCCAGATAAGAGGACAGGATCAGGAGGAGGTTAAGGTCTAGAGCACCATGGAGGGACAAACCCCTGATAGAAAGGACAGGGGGTAAGACTGGGCACACCACTGTCAATTTGGCGAGGGAAGGTGCGGAGCCCTGCCTTCTTCCGCCTTAGCCCATCTAACTCGCATTTGGCCTTCAGATCTCAGTTCCAACACTACTTCCCATTGTGGGCCCTTGGCTCAGTTATGTTACCTTTCAGCATCCTTTGTTCTCCATTAAATCACCTGTTCCCATTTGTAATTGACATCTGCCTGGTCTCTGTCTGCCCACAGTCTCTTCCCAAGAAGGGTACAGCCTGTGTCTCTCTTTGCCCCCACTGTGAACCCATGCCTCGTACAGAGCCTGGCCAGGTAGGCAGCACCTAATAAGCACTTATCAGCTGCAGAGACTGATGAACAAGATGGAATCACGCCTGTCGCAACCATCAGGCAACGGTAAAGGCCTAGCTTCTACGTAAAGAACAACTTGTGTGTTGATGCTGTCCCTAGCAAGTACAGCACTTTCTCTTAAACATTTTGAAAAATCACTCAATTTCTTCAAGATGTAGATGGGAACCATGAAAGGTCCTGACATGATGAAAGTGGGTCATGAAAGAAGAACCCTCAGCACAAGAGAATTGAAGTGACTTTCCCTGAAACATAAGGCCCTCCACAGAAGGTCCTCTCTTACCTTCCTTCCTCCTTAATGACTCCATGACACTCATACTACAGCCAGGCTTCTCCCGAGAGGAGCAGAAGTTCCAGAGGGCAGGTTCTCAGGAGCTTCTGTTCCTCTGGGCATCTCCCAGACCTGCAGAGCCCGAGACACGGCGAGACCCGCAGGACGCTGCACCTCTTTCGGAAGACTCTCCCCACCACCCTTTGGTGCAGCTGAATCCTCTTTTCTTGTACCCCAGCTCCAGACCCACCATGTCTAAGATACCTTCCCAGACTCCTTCCTGCCTCAGGAGCCCCTGAACTTCTGGGTTGCCACATCATAGGATCCTGCTCACTCAGCTTGTCACACGGGTCTCTCTGGCGGTAACGAGCTTTAACCCTCCCATGGCATCTACCACCCACCTGGGCACAGGCTATCTGCTTACATTTTTTTCTTTTGAGACAATGTCTCTCTCTGTCACCCAGGTTGCAATGCAGTGGCACAATCATGGTTCATTGCAGCCTCAACCTGCCAGGCTCAAGTGATCCTCCCACCTTAGCCTCCCGAGCAGCTGGGACTATAGGCACACAGCACCATGCCTGACTAATTTCTGTATTTTTTGTAGAGATGGGGTTTTGCCATGTTGCCCAGGCTGGTCTTGAACTCCTGGGCTCAGACAATCTACTTGCCTTGGCCTCCCAAAGTGCTGGGATTACAGGCATGGGACACCGCACTGGGCCTATCTGCTTATAATACACGGGGAAATGGGAAAGGAAATGACTCAGCAAAGCCCCCTGCCAGACAGAGTCCTCCCAAGGGTCTCCTATCAATGTGGCATCCTCCCTCACAGCAGTCAAAGTGTCTACACTTGTACCCAGACTATCCCAACGGCAGAACCAACTTCCCATTGTGAAAACACAATGACGTGCAGGCTTACTGAGCACACGCAGGGGCACCGTTGACTTCAATGAGCCACACCTTCAGCTCCTCGTCCACCATGAAGTCAAAGCCGAAGAGCTGGAAGCTCTGGTAAGGGAGGTGCTTGGTGCTAATGGCAGGCTCCACGCTCAGGAGGCAGTTCCTATGAGGCGGGAGGGGAAATGCTCATTAAACAGGGTGATCAAAGGAGAAGGAAGACATGAGGTGTGCTTGAAAGATTTTATATGAGATGAATACAAATATCAGTTTTGACTTCATTCTCTCTTTCCTTTTTTTTTTTTTTTTTTTTTTGAGACAGAGTTTTGCTCTTCTTGCCCAGGCTGGAGTGCAATGGCGTGATCTTGGCTCACTGTAACCTCCGCCTCCCGAGTTCAAGCGATTCTCCTGCCTCAGCCTCCCAAGCAGCTGGGATTACAGGCATGCGCCACCACACCCAGCTAATTTTGTATTTTTAGTAGAAACGGGGTTTCTCCATGTTGGTCAGGCTGGTCTCGAACTCCCAACCTCAAGTGATCCACCCACCTCGGCCTCCCAAAGTGCTGGGATTACAGGCACGAGCCACCATGCCCGGCCTAATTTCTCTCTTTTCAACTCATTACCATTAGGTTATTCAAAAGAATGTTACTTATCAAGCATTTGTTAGAAAACTCTGCAACCACTCATGGTCTTCCAGGCAAAAGCCACTTTCCCATGTCTCAAGAAGCAGTAGAGTGTCGAGTCGCCGTGGCCTCTATAAATGAAGATTCCTCCAACAGCTGGGCTGCTGCCATGTTTGTTTGTAACACATAGAACATTTCCATGTATCTTTGCCATGTAAAGAATGGACTGCCCTTTGGCGAACGCCAGGATTTGCAAAAAAAAACATGTTGACCTCATGATTTCGCTAGTTCTAGTTCTAATGGCAAATTATTGCTAATTAAAAGATTTAAGAGCTATGCAAGTTGAAACTAAAAGTTGAAATATGGAAGTATTATTAGCAACAATGAATGGAAAAATGGCGCGATTTTAGTGACACAGAAAAAAGTTGAAAGTGAATCTCGGAAATACAATGAATGAACAAGTACATGAAGTCTCAGGTCAGGCCAAAATCTTGGACAAGTGATTGTTCAATGAGATAATTATATAAGGAACTTGTCATAACTCCTGGCACCTAGGAAGCATTTAATAAATGTTACTGTTATGAACAATTTTTCATCATATTTCATTATGATAACCATATATCTATTATTTAGGAATAATAAATACCTCTTACCTACAACTATCCCAGAAAACCTATGCCATTTCTGTTTTATAAAGATCTTCTCTGATTTTTCACCGAACTGAATGCTGGGGCAAAATACTTCTCTCAGTAAATTAAATGTGCTACAATGACTCTAGGGGTACCAAAGATAACTGTCCTTCTACACAGCTGTGTATCTGGAAGGAAAAAGATACAGGGGTCGGCCGGGCGCGGTGGCTCACGCCTGTAATCCTACCACTTTGGGAGGCCGAGGGGGGGTGGATCGCCTGAGGTCAGGAGTTCGAGAGCAGCCTGACAACACAGCGAAGTCCCATCTCTACTAAAATTACAAAAATTAGCCAGGCATGGTGGCGGGTGCCTATAATCTCAGCTACTCGGGATGCTGAGGCAGGAGAATCACTTGAACATAGGGGGCAGAGGTTGCAGTGAGCCAAGATAGCGCCACTTCACTCTAGCCTGGGTGAGAGAGCAAAACTCTGTCTCCAAAACAAAACAAAACAAAAAAAGATACAGGGAACTGTTGCTCATGTGACTAAGACGTAGCTCTAGATGCAGGTTTTGACTCATGCCTTTAATAAAGAACTGAATCCTTTGTGAACTTGAAGCCAGGGTCAATCCTCCTCCCTTGGCCCTCCACAAACTTCAATCTCCTTTTCTTTTTTCCTAAAAAGAAAAGTATTCTAATAGATACATTTAAACCTTTAAAAACTATTTTGGTTGAAATGGTTCTTTTAAGATGACTCATTTAAAAACCAATTATAATAAAAATTTCTTCTCCCATTCATATTCAACCTGCATTGACAAGCACATATCACATTAAAAAAAAAAATACCTGTTCTACACAAGAATATCCTTAACTTTTGCTTTAATTAAAATATTCTCGGCCGGGCGAGGTGGCTCACCCCTGTAATCCTAGCGTATTAGGAGGCTGAGGCAGGTGGATCACTCTAGGTCAGGAGTTTGAGACCAGCCTGGCCAACATGGTGAAACCTTGGCTCTCCACTTAAAAAAAAAAAAAAATTAGTTGGCTGTAGTGGTTGCATGCCTACAATCCCAGCAACCCAGCAACGCGGGAGGCTGAGGCAGGAGAATCGCTTGAACATGGGAGACGGAGGTTGCAGTGAGCCAAGATCACACCTTTGCACTCCAGCCTGGGAAAGAGAGCGAAACCCTCTCTCCAAAAAAAGCAGGAGACAGAGTCTCACTCTATCACCCAGGTTGGAGTGCGGTGGCCCAATCATGGCTCACTGCAGTCAGCCCTGACCTCCCTGAGCTCAAGCGATCCTCCCAATTCAGCCTTCCAAGTAGCTGGGACTACAGGCACACCCCCCCACACCCTACTACTTTTCTTGTATCTTGTAGAGGCAGAGATTTGCCGTGTTGCCCAGGCTGGTCTTGAACTCCTGGGCTCAAGTGATCTGCCTGCCTCAGCCTCCCAAAGTGCTGGGATTACAGGCATGAGCCACCGTACTTAGCCTGTTTTTATTAGAATATTCTTTAAAACATTATAATTAAGGAGGATTTCAAAGTTGAATAGATGCTCATGGTAAAAAAAGAGAGAGAGAAAATACTGAAATATAAAATGGAGGCCGGGTGCAGTGGCTCATGCCTGTAATCCCAGCACTTTGGGAGGCTGAGGCAGGCAGATTACTTGAGGTCAGGAGTTCAAAACCAGCCTGTCCAACACGGCAAAACAACGTCTCTACTAAAAATACAAAAAATTAGCATTGAGTGATGGCACATGCCTGTAATCCCAGCTAGTCGGGAGGCTGAGGCAGGAGAATTGCTCAAACCCGGGAGGCGGAGGTTGCAGTAAGATGAGATCATGCCACTACACTTCAGCCTGGGTGACAGACCAGGACTCTGTCTCAAAAAAATAAGACAAAATAAAATAAAATAAAATGGAAAGAAGTATTACATTCCAACATAAAGGAAAAACTGAGAATCAGAAGCCAAACTAATTTTGTTTGTCTTTTTTTGGCTGAAAGCTCAAGATTAATAATTCACTTTAAAGGATTTTTATCCATCATCAGAGACTTATACAGTGCATCTTTTTTTGGCTGGAGTGGGAAGTTAGGGGGAGGCTAGATGGAAAGAAAGCAAACCTGAGAGCTGCTGGGAGCATTTATAGCACCACAGCAGCCACACTCTGAACGGCACTGAACAACACGGAGAGGGGGCCGCAAACTTCCAATGAAGCTTTTGCCTAAAATAGGAATCCTTTCTCCACATACTTGATTTATCTGGTGTCAGAATTCCAACCACCTATACTCCCTGAAGAAATGGGACTCCAAGCCCTGTAATTATTCTACTGGGCTCTACGTGAGAATACGGTAAGGAAAAAGTCTCAGTCATTGTGACAGGGTAGCATTGACGTGGTGGATAGTAGAACAATGGGACAGAATGGAGATCCTAGGAACAGACCCTCACATAAATGGCCACCTGACTGACTGACTGATTGATTGATTTCTGAGATGGAATCTTGCTCTGTTGCCCAGGCTGGAGTGCAGTGATACGATCTTGGCTCCCTGCAACCTCCACCTCCCGGGTTCAAGCAATTCTCCTACCTCAGCCTCCCAAGTAGCTGGGATTACAGGCGCACGCCACCATGCCTGGCTAATTTTTGTATTTTTAGTAGAGACAGGGTTTCACCATGTTGGCCAGGCTGGTCTTAAACTCCTGACCTTGTGATCCACCTGCCTTGGTCTCCCAAAGTGCCGGGATTACAGGTGTGAGCCACTGTGCCCAGCCAGCCACCTGATTTGTAACAAAGACACACCACAATGCAGTGGGGAAAGGATAGTCTTACACACAAATGGCCCTGGGTCAATGGGATATCCTTGTGGAAAGACATGAAACTTGATATTCAACTTCAGATAGATTATAAGTCTAAAATATAAGAGATAAAACCCAGATGTCTACCAACTACAGAAGGAATAAACTGAAATATTTACACAATGGAATATTACACAGTAATAAAAAGGATAAACTACTGTTATGTGCAATAATATGGATGAATGCCACAGATATAACACTGGAAAAAGTTGAACATAAAACAATAAATATGGTATTCCATTTACACAAAGTTTAAGAACAAGCAAAATGAATCTAAGGTGATAAAAGTCAGAAAAGTGGCTGACTTTGGCAGGGAATATATATATTTTATTATTTATTATTTATTTTTTTGAGAGGGAGTCTCACTCTGTCACCCAGGCTGGAGTGCAGCGGCCCAATCTCGGCTCACTGCAAGCTCTGCCTCCCGGGTTCAAGCCATTCTCCTGCCTCAGCCTCCCAAGTAGCTGGGACTACAGGCACCCGCCACTACACCTGGCTAATTTTTGTATTTTTAGTAGAGACGAGGTTTCACTGTGTTAGCAAGGATGGTCTCGATCTCCTGATCTTGTGATCCACCGTCTTGGCCTCCCAAAGTGCTGGGATTACAGGCACCAGGCCCCGGGGCTGCTCTGGCAAGGAATATATATTTTGAGGGAGTTCAAAGGAGTGTTCTGGGATGCTGTAAATGTTTTATATTTTTATTTACATCACAGTTAGGTTGAGTATATGCATAACTGAAAACTCACCAAACTGTACACTTTGTGCATGTTACACTTCATTTAAAAAATCTTTTTTTTTTTTTTTTTTTTGGAAGGGGGTTTCGCTCTGTCGCCCAGGCTGGAGTGCAGTGGCGCGATCTGGGCTCACTGCAAGCTCCGCCTCCCGGGTTCATGCCATTCTCCTGCCTCAGCCTCCCGAGTAGCTGGGACTATAGGCGCCCGCCACCTCGCCCGGCTAGTTTTTTGTATTCTTTTTAGTAGAGACGGGGTTTCACTGTGTTAGCCAGGAAGGTCTCCATCTCCTGACCTCGTGATCCGCCCATCTCAGCCTCCCAAAGTGCTGGGATT